ATTGGTGGAAAATAAGACCTGGGATCTGGGGTGCATGGCTCCCGCCAGAATGGGAATTTCCTGGAAGGCAGGCCTAGATGCAGGGCCTGGTTTACCTGGTCCTGCTGGTCTCATTGTTCCCACTGATCAGTGTACCTGCTGGTCCTGCTGGTCCCCTGGTCCCGTTGGTAGAAGAGTGCTTGTCTCCTCTCAGGTTGTCAGGCTCTGTGGCAGTCAGTAGGAAGTCCCCGGCACTGGAAGGCAGGCCCAGATGGGTGGGCTTGTTTACCTGGACCTGCTGTTTCCCTGTTCTTGTTGGTGGAAGAGAAGACCTCCGATCTGGGGTGTGTGGCTCCAGCTGGGATGTCAGGCTCTGTGGCAGTCCCCAGGCACCGGAAGTCAGGCCCAGATGCAGGGCCTTATTTACCTGGACCCACTGGTCCCCTGGACTTGTTGGTGAAAGAGAAGATCTGGGATCTCACTGCTAATTTCTTTGGTTGCAGTTTTCCTTCTAGTTCTTTTTGTAGGGCTAGGTTTGTGAATATATATTATTTAAATCTGCTTTCCTCATGAAATATCTTGCATTCTCCATCTATGCTGACTGAAATCTTTCCTGGCTGTAGTAGTCTGTGCTGCTATCTGTGGTCTCTGAGTATCCACAGAACATCTGCCCATGACCTTATGGCTTTCAGTCTTTCCATTGTGAAGTCAGGTGTCATTCTGATAGGTCTGACTTTATTTAAATATTATTAACATTTTTTCTTTAAAGTTCTCATTATTCTTTCTTTATCTATATCTTTAGTGTTTTCATTATATATACCAAGGGTACTTTCTTCTTTGTTCCAGTCTATTTGGTGTTCTGTAATGTTATGTACTGTTATAAGCATATTCTTATTTAGGTTGGGAAACTTTTCAATGATTTTCTTGAATATATTTCCTATGCCTTTATGCTGTAATTCTTCTGCTTCTTCTATCCCTATTCTTGTGTTTGATCTTTTAAGTGTCCTAGATTTCCTGGAAATTTTGTGATTGTAAATTTTTGGATGTAGCACTTTCCTTGACCAGTGAATCTATATCCTCTATTCTGTCTTCAATACCTAAGATTCTTTCTTGCATCTCTTGAATTCTACTGGGTATGCTTTCATTCCATTTCCAGAATTCCTCTATTGTATGTTTTATTTATTGCCTAGATTTCAAAATTGAAGTCTTGGACTTCTTTGATTTTTTTCTTGACATTCTTTAGGGGATTTATTGATTTCTTCCAGTTTATTATTTGTCTTTTGCTCCATTTTCAAAGATTTTTTGGAGACAAGGTTTCTTTGTGTAGTTTTATAGACCAAACTTACAGAGATCTGCCTGCCTCTGCCTCCTGATTTAGGTGGATTAGCTGGGATTAAAGGCACTACCACCCAGCTAAGAATTATTAATTACTTCTTGAAGTGTCTCTTTCTTCTTCATAATGTTATTTTTAAGATCATTTCATTATGCTTCATCTGTGTTGCACTGTTCAGGTATTGCCAATGTAAGACCATTAGTTTCGTTGATCCCAGTTCCAACTGATACATTTACAACAAATACAATTGCCATTAATAAGTTCAGGTTTCATTGAGGGAGATGAGACAAGAAGAATGTAAGAGCCTGGGAACCAAGGATATTTCTGTGAGATTATGTCTCTTAGAAGTGTCATACATTTCCCATAAATACACATAAAGTCTGACCAACATGACTTCCTAAGTATGAGCTGAACTAGGACCACAGCAATAGCCATGCTGTTGTCAATGGAAAATCTCATCAAACTTCAACAATACAAGGACTATAGGGAACAAACTAATGCTATCAGAGGAAGAAAAATCTCCCAAGGGACAGAGCAAACCAAATAATTTGTAAGACCAATCCCATCTTAAATATATGAAATATATAAAAACATAATTTTTATATTATAAACCACAATTGTAGGTTCTATGTGTATAAAATGTAAGCTATATATTATGTATGGAATTATCTGCACCTATATTCCTAAAAATATATTCATACACATTTATACATATATATTTAAGAACAAATTTTAAAGAGTCCATGAGTTTGTAAGAGAGACAGAATGGGTATATAGAAGCATTTAGTAGAAGAAAGAGAGCAGACTGGGAGAACCTCTGGGAAAAAAAGCATTGCATTCCACACAATTTAGAGGAATACAGGATTCCTGGAATTTTATCTAAGGATGGTCCTCTCTAAAGTATCTACACTTGGTAACATATTTGATCACTCATAAAACAGAGCACACAACTGTCACTAAATTAGGTAGGTATACTATTCCATACAACACAGGAGCAGGCATTTATGGTAGGACTGACCTAGTGAATACACACACCTCAGCAAGATCAACAACACTGTCTACTGTTAACCCAACATAGAGGCCACGCACCTGTTTCACATTATTTAAGTTTCAATCTGAAAGTCCATGTTCTGACACCATTTTATTATGTGTGTATTTTTTTCTGGGAATACCTGTGAAAGTTCCATTCAACACAGACACAAACCAGAAGAAGCAGAAGCAGAACGATGCCATCCAATAATATCTTCTTTAACACATGTGCTTACTGTAACTTCATTTAAAACCACAGGTGTGTGGTGTTCATTTCTCACTGCTGATGATATTTTTAAGGCACTCAATTGCAGCAAGATGCTTCATATTTGAATTTTAATTCATGTTTCCTTGCTAAGAGTGAAAATTAACAAAATATCCATAGATATGTATGTTTAATTGTAAACAAAAATACAAAAGGATTAATATGGATAATTATAATTGACTTTGAAAATTCCAGTGTGAATTAATAGTATCTGTGATTTAGATTGCCAGAGTGGAAATACCAACATTGTAGGTTTATAATTTAATTTCTTGATTATATGGTAATGTAAGTATTCTATTAAAGGAACAATATTTAGTATGATATACCTTGGATAATCAAAAAATATCATATATACATACCTCAATGATAGGTCTTTTATGAATTTCCTGGTAGTACACACTGGATCTAATTTACCTCCATGGAACACAACAGAGGGCAATTTTAACAAGTTCTGTAACTTTCCTTTAAGCAGTGATATCAAGAAACTTTTTATTGTTTTTCAGTACTGACCCCAGGGGAAGCATTACTCACAAAACCTCTTGGCACCACAGCCCTGTGAGCCCATTGCTACTGCAGGTGAAAAGATAATTGCAGGTGTGACAGGAGATGAGGTCACAGAATCAATACCCATATCTTTGGCACTGGCTTCTTCCCTGCAGCTCACCTCCTGGTCACGGAGATCATGGCACTGAGATCAACATCCTGTCAAGTAGAATAGCGCTGGGATCACTTCCAACTGCAGACCTTGAGACAGAGTCCTGAGTACAAGGCCATCACAACATTCAAGGTATTTGACAACTCCAAAAAATCAATTAGCTTGTAATTGACGGAAAGCCAATACCTTATTAATCTTAGGAAATCTAGAGCAGCACACTCTAACCACAAAAACTGAGGTCCTTGGCTAATAATAACCTATGCTCATCTAGGTAGATGAGACCCCATTCACATGGCAGTGGTATAATCTGAGTTATAATTAAACCTGGTTTTAAAAGTGCTGAGAGTTGTTTTAAAACCATCTATGGTTCAGTCCCCCAAGGTGAGCTGCTGACTTACCAGGATTGCCTCCATGCATGCTAGAAACAGGTGAAGGAAACTAAAGGAAACCTATAGATCTGAGTAAATTCTGTATATAGTGCTTGAGTGATGGGTTCTCTTTAATTCATCACACAGGGACATAGGATTTGTATCTATAATGAAAAACCTGCAGTCTGAGCTCATGATGAGGCTGATTCCCTGTTATGATTTATTCAGGTTAAAAGTAGCATTGGTATAATGCCCTCTCAATATCATCATCAGTATTTCTGTATCATCTCATTCTTGCTAGCTTAATGAATTCTCTCTTTTGTCATTAACATATTCATCTAATATGTTATCCAGTTAGGAGATATTTGAGCCCAGGGGCCCATTTCAGTCTCTTTTTATGCTGTATAATACAGACATGGATCTAATATATTTATAGATTGTAAAATTGATTTAATGAATGTAAATTATTTCAATATTATAATAACAAAACTCTACATGCCAACACAGCACAAAATCACACAGGACCACCACAGAAATGCTATTTATCAATGCAACAGCATTGCTAAAATAAGGTAACTGTTCTGCTAAGCACTTCAGTGTTTCATCCAATCAATGACAATGTTGGGCACACTTCCCATGTTTAATACTGGGTTATTCCTTCTTTGTGGTAATTCAGCCGTATTATTTAACTTGTATTATTTAAAGTTTCATTTTACTTGTGATTGTAGCATAATAATAAATAAGTCATTAGACACCTATATTTTATTATGACCATTTTCAATCAATACCAATTACCTATCATGAGGCTGCTTCCAGCTCAATTTTCTTCATTATATTAGGATGCATTGTATTTGCTAAATGGAAATTTTATATCCAAATATGAAAATTATTATTAAAATTATACGGCTCTGTATAAAGACCATCTAATTGTATGAAAATAATCACGATTGCATGTCCTTTGTTTTTAAAACTTACCTGAGGTGTTTCCAGATATTGGTGTATTACTATACTTTCACCACCTTCATTCAGTTGCTACAATGATATAACTTCACCATCAATAAAGTAGCAATTTACAAAAATCTGATGGAGATGAATTTGCCTTACTTTTTCTTAGCTTTTTATATGGTCCAGAGTGCTTTCTCTTCACATTAAAGCCAGCGGGAAAGATATGCATGCAGCTTTCAAAGCATATACATCTACAAATGGAGTGTCTAAAGTTATGAAACAACCATTTGAACCAAAATCTATGATAAGTTTTAGAAGAACCCTAAGTGATTAACTGTAGATTAGAAGATTTGGATTTCATGCTGTACATCCAGCTTGTACCTAACCTTCCCATTTACATCCTCATGGTCAGCAAACAACAACAGCATGGCAGCTGGTGAGATGGCAATAGGAGTGGTCTCTTTATCACAAGTGGTGTTTGGAGTACTGGGAAACACCTTCTTAGCCTACCATTATCTGTTTCTTTACATCATGGGGTACAGGTTAAGGTTCACAGACTGGATTTTACAACATTTGGTTGTTGCCAACTTCTTAACCCTCATATATAAAGGAGTCCCTGAGACAATGGCAGCTTTTGGTTTGAAAGACTTCCTTGATGATTTTGGGTGCAAACTTCTTTTCTATCTTCACAGAGTAGGGAGGGGTGTGTCCATCAGCAGTATCACCTTCCTGGGCATGTTTCAGGCCATCACCATCAGCCCTAAGTGTCTCAAATGGACAAAGGTTAAAGTCAAGTCTCCAAGTTGCATTGCTTTTTGTGTGTACCTGAGCTGGATCCTGTCCTTCATAGCAAACATTGGTATTCCTATGAACATGACTGCAAGATGGAGTCAAAGAAACAGGACAAATCTAAAAGAGTATGGATATTGCTCTGCTGTTTATGTTGACAAAACTTGGAGCATTCTCTATGCAGCATTACTCTCAAGTCCTGATGTCTTGTTCATGGGCCTGATGTTGTGGTCCAGCGGTTGCATTGTTTACATCCTCTACAAACACAAGCAGAGAATGAGGCACATTCATAAGAGCAACATGTTCCTCGGGTCCTCTCCGGAGACTAGAGCCACAAGGACCATTCTGCTCTTGATGAGCACCTTTGTCTGCTTTTATGCACTTTCTTCCTTCTTGCATGCCTGTTTGGCTCTTATGGATGATCCAGGCTGGCTCCTGGTGAGTGTGGCTACAGTTGTCTCCGGGTGCTTCCCGACTATGAGTCCTTTTCTGCTGATGATCCCTGACTCCTATGAAAACGCTTTCTGCTTGGCTTGTGCAAGGAATAGAAAAAATACCCATATAGGCAACAAGTAAATTTCTTGTTTCTAATTAATATTTAATTCTGTCTTCAATATCTGAAATACATGTAGTACAGTGATGAAATTGTCACATCATAAATATGAGTCTGCCTAGCCACAGGCACATACACAAACATCTTTACTACTAAATTACAAACAATTCTGCAAATCTCATATTTTACAATGAAGGACTATCATTTTTGACATAAATTACAGACATATCCTTCTATCAAAACAATGATACTCTGACTTGCATAGAAAAATTTACTTGATAGCTACTTTATCATAAAGCATTAAAAATTTAATGGTTCTGTATGCATACCAACTTTATCTTAGCTATTTTTGTTGGAAAGAAATTAAATAGACTTGAATATGCTTGATTTCCCTTCTGTTAATGAACAAAGTGTTTTTACAACATTGCTAACATTTGCCCTCAATACAAGAGTCACTTGTGTTAATAAAATGATAGGACTACTTTAGAACAATTTGACAATGAAAAGTCACTCATGCTAAAACAATAATACACATAATAAGAAGAATTTTCCAGAGACTAATGTGCTTGCATTTACTAGTTTTATTTTATTCTTATGTCTGTGTTCATTGCTTCTGCAGAACTGATGCTGTATTAAATGGTGGTATATATTTCCTTTTTCTTAAACTTCAATTTTGAAATTTCAGAGTAATTTTGAAAGTTAGCCACACTGCAAAGCTTGCCTTAAATTTTAACCATCACTCTTCATAAGTAAAGGACAGGATGCATAATCATTGATCATCCTTTCATGTGTTAGTAAACTTTAATGGGTGTGTTTTTTTAAAGTTTATGTATAGAACATGAGTAGTCAGCTCACTGGCATTTCATTCGCTGTGCACTCATCTCCAAGAAATGGTGGTGTCAATGAGACAGAACATTGTCACACTCACACTAATGCTTTTTCACATCCTATCTCACAGTGTCCAAGCATGACCACAGTGATATATGCAATGGCACATCACATTCACCTTCATAGTTTCCAAGCTAAATCTTGTCAACTACTCATGGTTGTTTATGACATTGAACCACTGTAATAACCTCATCGTACCACTTTTATGTACCAGCACACTTCCTACATGCATAGGAACTGTTGTAGACCCATAGAGTCCTGTGATTGACACTTGAGTGTATGTGAGCCATGTGAGTCCTACTTAGTTGATTGAGTGGAACATATTTTCCTGGTTCCTTTCATTCCCTTTGATTACTACAGTCTGTCTCCCATTCTTCTTCAGGAAGCCAATTCTCCATTGGGAGGTATATGATGGAGAACCCATTTTAAATTTTCTTCTGCTGCATCAATCTGGCTGTATGTCTCTGCATCGACTCCAATCTGCTACTGGAGGAAGCCTATCTGAAGATTACTCACTTGACAAGGCAGAATGTCATTAGTAACCATTCTATTCATATTTTTGTCAGGCTTGTTTGGTTTACATGTGGTCTTGGGGCTGTCTTGTCTCCAGTTCCTGGAACTAAAATATTGTGTAATATTAGTTAAATATATTACATTTGTTTATGTTGTGGATTATTTGTTTAATAATGCAATGATATGTTGCATTTGTTTAACTCTGTAATGCTGTGTTACTTTATCTGCCTAAAGCACCTGATTGGTTAAATAAAGAGATGGATGCCAATAGCTAGGCAGGAGAAAGGAAAGACCGGGCTTCCAGGCAGAGAAAATAAATAGGTCAAATCTAGGCTCAAGGGAGGCAGAAAGAGTGAGTCCTGAGAAAGAGAGAAAAGGATGCCAGTGGCCAGACACCCAGGCACAAAATCAGCCACAGACTAAGAAGGAAAGAAATATGACTACTTGCACAAAACTTTTAAAATGGAATAGGATGGATACTATTTGAGTAGTAGAGATGGGTTTTTATGATTGGAAATGTGGTAGGACAAGGAAACTTGGTGACTATATTTTCAAATCATTACAAATATGTGTAAAGGTTTCTTAAAATTACCTTGAGATAGAGATTAATATTCCCATTGATAACATCTTGAAACAAGTAAAAGAAAGGCAATACAAGTAAGACCTACACTAAGGAGCCCATAAGGGATTCCAAAACTTAGAAAACATGAGAAACACTGAAGAGAAGAGGGGAATGGAAAAACTATACACAATGACCTTGAGGTTTTTACCTTTAATACACAGGAAAGAAAAATCAATGCAAATAGGTTTTGAAAAATACCCAATACCTGAGTATTATTTCTCTGAACCAAAGTATGAAAGACTTGTAAGTAAGAAAATTAGGGTCCCTCCTTGTGTGACTTCTGAGGCTTTGGGTTGTGAAGGTGTGATTGGATAGGTTGAGGTGGCACAGAAGTCGAGGGATGTGATGTAACTCCCATCTGTTAATAAAAAAGAAACTGCATACTGCATAATTTGATACAACAGTATAGCCAGTCTTTGACACACTGACTCTTGGAAGCAATTGGAGACAGGTATTTATCCCAACCTGATATCAGTATAAAAACTGAGGACTGAAATACAAATGAAGGAAGGACTAATGTGCTAGAGAACAATTTATAAAAGATATTATTTTTCATATTAACTTCATTCTCCTTGATAAGACAATGTCCTTCAGAAAGTTGAATAAGAAAGTATTTGAGCTTAGTCACTTTCCTGAACACCATGGAGAGACAAGATATTTATAGTGCAGGAGGTCAATAAACAGACATCAATGTCTTTTACTCACTTGTAAATTTTTCTCCTAATGAAATTGTGGAGATATATTGTTGATCTAATAAAGCTTGCCTGGAGATAAGAAGACAAAGCTAACCACTGCCATAGAAATTGGGCAGTGGTGTCACACACCTATAATCCCAGGATTCAGGAGATAGAGATACATGAATTTCTCTGAGTTCAAGGCCACCCAAGAGTGAATCAGTCTAAAGAGTAACAGAGTTCACATCTTTAATACCAGCATTTGAGACTTATATAAGAAAGAAACAAAGGTGTCTCATATGAGATTTAGTTTCCAGTCACAGGGAAGACAGAATGTTTGTTCCTTTCAGCCTTTGTAGCAGTAAGAACTACCGGCTGTATGCTTTGTTCTTTTCATCTTCAGCTTGAATTCCAATAACTATTCCTGAGTTTTTACTATTTGTGCTACATGGAGGAGATGCACAGATCAATCACCATGTGTGAAAAAAACTAAACATGTACAAGTATATAAATAAAACTTTCCAAGGGAAAGTAAAAGATGGACCTGCATGGATCCCCATAAAGCAAATATAGACACATTCCACAGAATAGTGGAAGATACAAACTAATAATGGGGTCCTGATATGACAGAGTATTACCACAATACATGGAGTGATGCAGTCTCCAATTGCTGTAGACCAAGAGGACCAGATCAACAGTACATAGATGTTCTATACAAAAGTGAGACAAAAAAGAATACTTAGGGTTTTTCACTTCTCATAGCACACAAAAGAAGCTGCTAACCCTTGATAAGTTAAGGTTCATAGACACAGAGAAGTTCTCAACATGTCTTTGCTAATATACCAAATCCTTTCCTGATAAATGGCAGAGACCAGGGACACAAAGAACTATCTCAACATAATGAGTCTCTCTTTATCCATCCTGCAACTGATGTCAGTCCAAAGGAAGAGAAACCCAGAGAATTTCCATTAAACTCATAATCAAGATAAGGATGCCAAATCCATCCATACAATTTCAATATATTTACTTAAGGGTTAACTAGAGAAATATCAAGCCTGAAGGAGCTCAAGACAAAATAGATAGGAAAGGAAGAAATCAAATTGTCCTTATTTTCAATTATATATTTGCAATTAAAATCAATCAATCTTAAGAGAGTGACAATAGGTACTGTCTCTATATCTTCAAAATAAATTACACTTGTTTATTGAGATTGCCTTATATGTGCTATAAATTCATTTTGGATTTTGTTTTTTCAAGGTTCTGGAATGTAGTGAAGGGTCATAATTCTTGTTTTGTCAAATTATACTAGGAAAATTTCCTACCATGTTATTCAATAAAAAGTTATCTATTAAAGTAAAAAATGCATTGTTAATCCTTTAACATATCTTAAATATGAAGAAATTTAAGCAGATTATAATGACAATAAAACAAATTATCCTTATTTGCACATTAAATTATTTTGTGTATATATGACCTAATTGACTCCACCAAGAACATTCTACCATTGATAAATACTTCCAACAAATTCTCAGGATACAAAATTAGCTCATGGCCTGTGCTTGGGGTCTGCCAATGTGGCTTCCATCCCAGCAGCTTCAGCCAATGCACCCCACCATCCTAGTCTCCTGCTCCACCAATGAGACTAAATCAACCAGGGCCTGTATCCAGGCTGCCCTCCTGTGCCTGGGGACTACCACTTTGGCTTCCATGCATCCTGGTGTGATACAAAGTACCCCAACATCTTAGTCCATTTCTAAAACCATGAGACAAGACAGAGGAGAGCTACCACAGCATTGGATTGCCTATAACCACCTGAAGGGAACCCTGGTCCCATATCCACCAGGAGAGGAAGAGGCTCTTTCTGCACCCACTGAAGAAGGAATGAGAAGGAGACAATACAAAAACACACACAGCAACAGAAAAAACAATATGACACTGCCAGAGTCTACAGTACCTACACCAAGAGCTGAACATCCCAATGCAAATGAAACAAAAGATAATGAGATTAAATACAACTTCATGACAATGATAGAGGGCCTCAAAGAGAATATGAGAAAATATCTTAAAGAGATGTAAGAAAAAACAATTCAGAAATACAAGAAATGGAGGAAAAGGCAAAACAAAAAACGCAGGAAAAAATTCAAACAGTGCAAGGGCTGAAATCTGAAATAGAAACGATTAAAAAAAAACAGTCTGAAGTCATGCTGGAAATAGAAAAGTTGGGCAAATGGTCAGGTACTACACATGCAAGCATAATCAACAGAATACAAGAGCTGGAATGCAGAATCTCAGGTGTTGAAGATACACTAGGAGAAATAGATTCAGC